CAGAATCAAGGAATCAGTCTTTCGGCCGGCCACCCGTCGCCTTGTCAAATAAAGAAATATTCGAAATTCGACAACGGGCCAGTTCCCCAGCAACTTTTGCGTTCAGTTGATGGGAAGGTTGTTTACGATTGATGAACGAATACGAAAGGACAGAAATGTTACGGGTGTATATGGGAGAGATCCTATACGCAAATATAGACTGAACTATATTAAAGATATGGCTAACAAAATGTTTATCACTGAAACAACTGACAAGTCTTTTTGGAAAAAATGCATTTCGTCTATGAACAAAACTAATAGAAATATAAGGACATACTATAAAATTTCAATCTTGTTAATAATATGTATATAGTAAAGACAGTTTGAAGCCTAATAAATATTACATGTACAAGTAGTGTTTTATTTGATCTTTAATAAATTCATAAATTCATTTATTAAACTCTATGTAAATTCAATCAATTCATAGATACAATGTACACGAAAATTGCTGTCATCACCGAATCTTTTTGGTAAAGCGACTTTTAAAAATCACTGTTGGCAAATTCTTATACTTAAAATCTCCGTATCAGAGTAGAGTGATCAAAGTAGAGTGAAGCCACCGCGCATTAAAGGTCAATTAACGCTTGGACGAACACTTAATTGCGACCACGCTCACCTTCGATCTTTATCTCAGCGAGCTAGGGTTAGGCTCTTTTGTTAGCAGAAAGTTTGTCACGATAATTGCCCGACGGGCAGGGTATGGAACTATTGTTAACAGAAACCAAACAGCGTATGGATGACAATGTTATTGCCATAGTAACCGAGCCAGGCCGTCCGTACAACCCGCAGCGACCCGGAGGGTAAGTAAGGGGAGATTCCGGCGGCACTGTAAATGTTTCATCGTACCACGCCAATTCGACTCAGTTGGTACCTGTTCATAAATTAATTTATTAACTGTATAATTTATATTTTTCTCCTTGTTGATATTCCGCAGAAAGAATAACATTTTAGCAATTATGTTCCGACAGTATGGTCCCAATACGGTTTTATATCCGTCAAGTAGGCGTTGAATATAACTATACGTAAATGAAGTTGATTAATTTACCTTGTTAATCGCATTTTCAGAACCTCTGTTGTCAGTTGTCATAAATGATATGGAAAACGAATTGGTTTAATAATACATTTTATTTCAGGCGTTATGCATCTAAGATTCGGAGAAGATGTGAATTGCGCTATGACCCGTACACCCAAGGTATACAGTGTCTGGACTCCAAGGGGGCTGTCACAGACCTCACCATGTTCATCAAAGCTGAGCTCAATCATCTCAATAATGCCCTGGAGAAGATGGGCTCTGTGTAGATTACATCTGAAGATATATCTTTCTGTCTAGTATCCCCTCTAAGTATATATGGCTTTAACTCTATTTATTATTCAATGTGTTTCAAAAGAGGCATGGTAGCTTTAAGAAGTTGATAAAAGTTCATTCTTGTTCATATTTATACAATGTGCATATATGCGTGAGCCCACTACATGTGCATGCGGTATGAATTCTACGTATGAATCCAAGCATTCTTGAATATGTTACAATAAAGAAGAAACAGAAACATTTGCGGGTAAAATATTAGTTATTTAAGAATTAATTGTCAGTGGTCAAGTTTAATATGAAATTGAACAAAAAATAATGGATGAGTCACTCTGACAGTTGAGTTGTATCTAGTATTTACAAATGACAACGAGGCCTATATGTCGGTGTAAGGACACTTTACCCGGTACATGTGACACAGGCTTCAGCTTGTTTTAAATAGTAGCTTTTAAAGTCAGTGGTATACGAACAATTTACAAGATTTACTTGGTATTTCAGGTAGAAATTTTACATTTTGTACCGTATGATCATGATCTATTGATCCAGAGTATTATACGTCTGCACTAAGAAGATTAAATGTTGGAGGTTAGTTGGGCACATAACACTACGCACTTTAGCCATTGTTTTCCGCTTCTTATCCTTAAGTACAAGATAAGTTTGAAAATGAGGATAGCAATTGTATAAAACATGTGAAATCATATTATGATGAAACCAATGTACTAATCTGAAAATATAGTATGCGAATTGTGTTCAAAATACAAAAAATATATCGGGTTGATAAACAAAATCGCACCGCACGTCAAATTCATCAAAACCAAATAATCCATTGATTATACACGACGACATTCACCAAATACCATTGTATGGAAGCGCGCTGTTGTCAGTAGGTAAGTGCTTTGTGTAGATCTTTAGCTTACTTACCAAATACTTAATTTCTAGTGCAGCGTCTTTGATGATGATAGAGATGGTTACCGTATTCCAGATAAAAATGACTGAGTCATCATTTTTACGGGTCAGAGGCATGGTCATGTGTATGAAAATACAGTTCCTTAAAGTGTTTAGTTTTAAGATGTGAAACGCAACAGTGGAAAACGTTATTATTTAACCACCCGATACAATATTGAGGTTTTACACTGTTTAAGTAGCACAACCACAATCGTGGACTTCTTTGTGCTGTTTATGTCATACTAAATTGTTTAGTATATAAGCATGTCAGTTAATAATATGGCATTTGATGACATTTCACTACCGGAATCGTGTCACCGCCAGTCTAACAAAGGCAACTGCTTTCTACAACTGCCCAGTTTTTATCCAAGAGACATGTAGGACGAAGATGACCAGCTGAAACAATGAAAATGGCGACAGGTTACGATTTCCGGTCGCGGTTGGTTCTTTACACTCCTGCACAGGTTGTTTAGGACATTGGTCCCTGTGAGTTGCATCTTTGTACACATGTCCACCCCAACTACCACACCGAGGAAGGTTTGCTGGAATCGATGGATACTCTGCAAATTCACCAAATTTCAGCAACATGGCTTGACCCAGGTTTAGATGAAGATTAAAATGGCAGTGGAAGAGCCAGACACCTGTGTGGAAATAGAATATTATAAGAAACATAAATAAAAGTAATAACTTTTACTTTAAAAAACCACACCCAATCCAAACTTGATTTTCTCCTTCTGTGCTGTTATGAGTGCATATTTGAATGACCGGAAAGCGGTATTTACCGGTTTATGGTTAGTAATGAATTTAAAAAAACGTTAGCAATGGGTGCGTTGACTGAGAATCAAAGGGCGTCAAGATACTTTACGTTAACAGTAACGTTTATGAAGGCATACATTTGTTGTAGGAATGTGTGAGTCTATGCTTTTCAATCAATAATCCAAAAATGTTTATTATTATAGAAAAAGAATATGTTTATTTTCATTTCGAATGTCAATATTCAACTCTTACCTGGATTGTCGGTTCTAAATCGTATGATAGCATATCCATTGTCAGGCACGATCACTGTGTCACGGTAGCTAGGACTTATAAGTTTATATCGAAGATTACCCTCCTCGTGCAGTTTCTTTATTTCTTCAACCGAAGTAGAACTCCCGAGCTAAAATTTGAAATTCAAATGCATATTTGTTGTCAGTTTTTCGCCAGTATATTGGCAACTTGTCATTCTTTAAAGCTTCCATATGATTTTACATATTTCTGACAAATTTTATATTCATACATCAATAATGAGTCGCTAAACGTATTATGCAGTGGCATTCAGCCCAAGGACACTGATGCTGATAAATTTTTCCAAGACAAATAGCTAAATTAACACAAACCTTTCCAACGCCCAGTACACGAAAATATGCACCGTGGAGATGAAGCGAGTGCTCAACTGGGATTGGTCTACCCTCGTTGATCAGGACCATTTCCACAACCTTAAACATTGGGGAAATAATGACCCATTTCTGTTACGTCACTTATCGTAAACAAAAATAAATAATAATAATAATGAAATATAAGAAAAGTAAAACCAGTGAAAGAAAGAAACTAACGAGGTTTACGGTGAAGATTGTTGAAAGTAGATTAAGAACGAATTTGTATTATTAAAGAGTTACAAATGGCGTTTTACCTGATTAAGCCTGAATTCCACCATATGTGTGCACTGGCAGAGATCGTCACCGCAGTTGGTGGTATTAACTGTGGAGTGATTACAAAACCAGGCAGTATCAATGTCATCTGGTTGTGTCATGAGGGGCACAGGAGGGAACGCAAACGTTATCTTTATGATCGTTAAGGAAGATAACCAGTTTTTATATAATTTTCGTGTTTGAGAAGTGATTAATTATTGTACCAATGAGCTTACGGAAGAAGATGAGAAAGCTCACATATTAGAAATTAATTCAGGTTCTAGTAGTTATTAATAGAAAATAATTTATTATTATCACTTGTTTTCTTGTTTAATGACGGCATTTTGCATTGAAGTCGGTTTTTAATTATAGCCTACATATCTAAAACTATTAAGTGTTGGTCATGTATTTTTAGTAGTGAGTAAAAATGGCAGATGTAAAGATTTTTTTCAAAACTGTAAGCAAGTTCTCTCTATTATGTTCCTACATGTTTGTCTATCTAATAAACCTTTATATCAACCGAACAAACCACACCCGTACCGTTAAAAACTAAGTAACTACAGTATATACATGTATACGGTCTAATGGGTCTCTGTGAAGATATGAATAAAGCATAAAAGATGATTCTGAAAAAATGAAAAAAAAGATACGTTGTCGAAAGCTGGAGTCATATGTGTTTTAGGTGGACGTAGCTCTTCGGCAGGGTAGTAAATAGGAGGGTTGAACTTCGGATTGCTATTAATCAGAAAGTCCATACCTAAAAAATAAAATAAAGTCAAGGTTCCATTTGCCCCCTACGATGAAATCGTTGAGGTCTACGCGGTTCTTTACATGGTTATTTTCTTTGGACTACGGGATGCACAGGAACTATGTGCTGTGTCATTTCTCCACCAAAGCCTTGAAGTCGGTTTGTCGCTTGAAAACTGATCATACGATGCTCTTTCACTCTCAGTGCAGTTGCCGCACACCGTCCTTGTGGGTTTCAAGAATATTAAAACGCTGTTGGTGCAGCGTTTTTAGTACCCATATGGTCAACTTCAAATTCATTCCATGCACAAAAAGGTAGCTTTATAAGCTCAAAATTGTGCGTAAAATGTATAATCGATTTCAAATACGATACCCGTAAGGACTTCTGTACGGTAGAGTGCAGCACAGCCTTGACCAAGGCACAAGAAGCGCCACCTTATCAGACCAATGCTACAAAGTCTTTTTTACACAGCCGATTTTAGCAGTCTAAACTTAAGGGTTCATAGACTTAAAACTTGACGTAAAACAGACCTCCTCTAGGGGGATTATTTAAATCAGCATGGCAGCTTACGTCTAAGTAACAGGATAGGTTCCTGATATATTTTAACACAGTTTATTTTATATTTGATTTGTACTGTAGTTCTAGCATCTAGATGCCAGAACTACAGTACAAATCAAATATAATCTAAGTACTTGGCAATTTAAAGACGATTTTAGCTCGGTCTTACTTTGCCATTGACTAACATAGACAAAAAGTGGTTTCATGGTACAAATGTAGAATTTGAGAGGTAGAATTGCATATAAATTTTCATTTCTTTTGACATATTGTTTATAATGCGATAAAAAAGAATATATAACGCAAAACTATCTCAACAAAAAATGTGCCAATAATGCCACACTGGATCATGCAACAACTTGACTTACCAAGATAGTACTTGACATCCACATTCTCGTCGGTAAAATTTTCGTTCTCGAAATTTTCCAACTCGTCCATGAGAATGTCAAAGCCAGGTCCGTGGGTTGCAATCGGGTTTCCTGGCTCACTTATGGTGGGATTCAAATACTGAAATATGCAGTTTTGTATTACCTTTGCGACATGATCTACTTATTTCCTTGTGGTTGCTTTTGTCATATCTCCACCAAGAATGGATTATATTGTAACATTCGTTTGTGTTTGTTTGTCTGTTTGTCATAGGCACAAACATGAATGACAAAAACGGTTAATGTTTTACAGAAAAGAAAGAAATCGTGGAAAATGGGCAGAATATTGTTCATAATTGTATAATCTACGGAATACAGGTGAGCCGACCAACACCAAAATGGCAACATTCCACAAATATAACTTTTTTCACAGGCTAAAGATATTTTGCAGAACAACAAGCAAGAGTCTGCAAAGGCAGAAACACAATTCAACAAATATTAACCTATGTGAGGAACAACATTATCTTGGTAGATTTTGAGAAGACTTGACGGTCAACCAGGAACTATGGTTCTGGGCAAATGTGGGGTTTGTGACAAGGGTGAGTCCTACCTCATTCTTTTCCAAACACCTTTTTGGAAAAAATCATGAGGGAAACATTTGGGGTACAATTATTATTAGGGTAAGGAGATAAATGAAATTGTAGTGACCGAAGAGAAACTTGTCAACCTGATCAATCAACTTGAAATTGCCTCTGCCGTACAGGCAAACAGAAAAGCTATAAAAAGAAATATAAACGAGTGAACAGATATGTTTTTTCATTCCCAGGCGTTAGCGCACAGCCAAAAAAAGTAAAAACTTGGTTTGAAAATCACTGAGAATAAAATTGGAGTCTTTAGACTCTGTAGTCATGCAGAGTCCAGCACCCCTTGACTCTCATGGAGATAATTTGACTCTTATATCAGGGTAAACTTTCCCCAGGGCCAGTCTTAAGACTCTTGTCAGAGTCAGTCACCCCTTGCCTCTTATAGCATTCATTTAGCTCTTACATTAGGGTCAAATTTCCCTAGAACCAGGGTCTGGCTTACCTCTTTCTCCGACTCCCTCTACTGCACCGGACCTTAAGCCTCGTTTTGAGTTCGTGGGTGGAGCCGACCAGTCGACATGGTTTAAGGACAGTTTTCTTTGCAATTTTTTAAACATTGCTTTATTGACCAACTGTCGACAGCGACTACCTAAATAGCATTTTCTGCACGTGTACGCCATAGAGAATAGTATTGTATTATGGTCTGTACCCAGGAAGTGATTGAGTTAAATCGGTTACTGTACATCAAGCGTCCAGTCAATTGTGACTCTCTTGTGGATGGCGTGACTCCATCAGAGTTTACTTGATACATTTTGGGAGTTATTTTAGGCACCATTGCTGGACTCCAGGTTAGGGGTCACTAGGAGCCTGCATTTAGGCTTCGTTCACATGCAATGTCTATTTTCTAAATTCTATTTTCTATTTGCGGTATGTCTTATGATCACGGTCTGTGGCCTGAATATCCCGCGGCGTAATTACTGGCAGCGCGAGCCAGTTACTATAAGTTACTATAAGTTACTATAAGTAACTGGCTCATTCTCAGTACTGCATTATCGCAGCACCTCCAAGATCCCATATTACGGAATAGAGAGAGAGAGAGAGACAGAGAGAGACAGAGAGAAAGAGTAAACGTAATGTATTGAAGAAGGAATTGCCTTTCCGAGTCTGTTTGCCTTCCTGTCTTCCGTGGGGTATTCGTCAGCCGCGCCATCGTATCTAATTACTCCTAGGGCCACATGCCCTAAGAAACCACAGTCCACTAACCCTGCCGCTTTCAACCAATAATTACCAACTGACTGATTGGCACGCAAAACGATGTCAAATCTTTCACCTGTAATTAAGTCATTTGAAACCAATGGAATAGATTATTAAACTTTCAATGAGGTCAACTGAAGTTCAAGCCCTAAAATGCTTGATCAGAGGTACTGTGAGAAATGACAGCTTTGTAAGTAAGTAACCTGTACCTTTGTTTACACAAGCTCTATTGCAACGAATCTTACATGTGTCACGGTAATGGGAAATACATTAATACCTGGTTTTATTCCAAATGTGTCGACCTCCAAGGGCTTCACAGCAACGCCATCGGCAGCAATGACAGTTAAGTTGTGGGCGTCAACCGACACTTTAAACTGACATTTCGTATGACCAGCATTAGTAAAGCGGAATCGATATCGATTACCCTGGGTCACGTGAAAGACTTCTAGAGGGGGTCTTGCCGTGATGTTAGGGTTAGAACTTTTTACTTCGTAGTTATCAGATCTCCCGTTTAACAGTAAGGAAACTGGCAGAAAGAAGTCAGCCCTGAAGAACAAAAATCACTGTCTGACAAACTTTGTGCACGTCGATACGGTAGATACCGTGCACTGGTTCAAATTTATTCTTGAGGTTTCAGAGAGCGTTCAGACGTTTTAGAACGATATTGTAAATGGTCAACTAATAGGAAATCACAGCATCAGCAAAACAATATATTCAAAAGCTGATGATCTCAAAAAAGGAAGACGATTAAAACATATAACGCTGACTTCTCTGTTTATATGTCTGATATCCAAAATAAATAAATAAATTAAAAATTTAAAAAAAACTCACTCTTTATGCACAAACTGGATGAAACGTGCATTCGATGGCTCCGGAAACCAGTCTGCCAGCTGGACCACGTGACTAGGGAGATCCTCGTCGTACAGGGTCCTATGTGGTTCATCTTCCGGTGGTTTGCGAACTATTAACGCACCATACAGGCCATCCGCGATCTGCGAGCCAATGTGGGAATGGTAGAAATGGGTCCCAGCTGGGCTGGCTTTAAACGTGTACCTGTATT